TTTTTTGTATTATATTAAATATAATAATTAATATATATTATATTGTAATTATATATAATATAATATAATATAGTCGTAATATTTAATTATCTATAAGAATTCAACATCATAATTTACCAAACGTTATTACACTGATTTTAGAACTAGCACAACTATCATAATTATAGTTTATTAAACATTAAACTGTTTTTTATAACAGCTGCTTCTTTCTTCAGCATAGTTAAAAGTAATTTTTTCAAAGTCCACAACACAACTAAACTAAGCCATAGACTCTTTATGTATTAAAAATCCAAGTATAAGGTATGAATGATTCACCCTTTTTTCTTTTTAATGAAGTTTTTCTTCGTATATATTTTTTTATATTTTTTAAAAAGATTATTATAACTAGTGCTCATAAACTTTAGTGTCATTATCAGTTTACTCCTTGAACTATAAAAACTCACTTTACCTCTTGAACTTTAAATTGTTCTCACTTAATTTTTTCTGTTGTAATTTCCGTTACAATCAGACGAAAAAAAGGTTAGTGTTGTCCTGTGGTTCTTATATGTTTGTTTCTAGTAAAAATTCAAACATGCATTACTCTCTTTTTCTTTCAATTTTTAACAGAAATTAGAATAAAAGAGATTAAATCAGAACAATTTAAAATTTAAAAATGAAATAAATTTTTTTTAATTAAGAGACAAACTGACAGATTAGGGGCACCAAGTGATAATGATCGTGTTTGGAATTGATTCCGTTTTTATTTTTTAGGTTTTTCGAGAAATAAAAAATGAAAACGTTTCTAAAACGGCGTTTGGCGTAATAAAGACAAAAAAGAGAAATGAAAACGATTTTTTGATTTAGTGTAAAATGAGAGAGAAATGAAAAACCACTTTTAGTCATTTTTTAATTTTTTGTTTTCGTTTCTCCTCTCTCGAGCAGAGAGAGAGAGATATTAATAATTTTTTTTATACTCAAAATATCTCTAGTCCTGATAAAACTATGAAACACATTTTTTAAAATAATTTATGTCTGAGATTGAAAACGTTTTTATTTTTATATAAAAATGATTTTTGATTTAGTGTAAAATGAGAGAGAAATAAAAAATGACTTTTAGTCATTTTTTAATTTTTTATTTTCGTTTCTCCTCTCTTGAGCAGATATATATATATTAATGAATTTTTTTTATACTCAAAATATCTCTAGTATTGATAAAACTACCAAATACATTTTTAAAAATAATTTATGTCTGAGATTGAAAACGTTTTTATTTTTATTTTTATTTTTATATAAAAATAATTTTTTAATTTAGTGTAAAATGAGAGAGAAATGAAAAATGACTTTTAGTCATTTTTTAATTCTTTATTTTTGTTTCTCCTCTCTCAAGCAGAGAAAGGGAGAGAGAGATATTAATGAGTTTTTTATATTGAAAATATCTCTAATCTTGATAAAATTACCAAACGTATTTTTAAAAATAATTTATATTTGAGATTGAAAATGTGGTGAATTGAGGTTGTTTGGTTGGGGGATTCGTCATTGATTCGAATTATAATTCGTAGTTCGTTACAGTATTTTCTCTCATAAAAAATATACATAAATCAAAAATAATTTTAATCACATAATTTTAATTTATGAACCAAACGTCTTTTTACTCGGTGCGTTTAAATTAAAAATAATTTTAATCACATAATTTTAATTTATAAACCAAACGTCTTTTTACTCGGTGCGTTTGAGGGGGAAAAAGGGCTTTTCCTTTGGTGTCAGTGGAAGATTCCTGTCCTGAGCAATTTTCTTTAATTTATTTTCTTTTTGCTAGATATTTAGGGATATTTTAGGGCAAAGAGAAAAAAAGAGTAGAAAGCGGAGACCTTTCGTTGCCACCGTGGCAGAATCCATTACTTTTTCCATTTTTTATTTCTTTTCCTATAGGAGCGTGATATACCACACGGCACACAACAACTCCCTGACGAGATATTTATCTCCCGCCATTGAGCTCACCCACTCTTTTCCGAAGCGCGTTCATTACACCGTTTCTACAATAGAAAACAAACAACTAGAATTGTAAGAATTTTTTGCCAAATATATGTTGTAAGAATATACATAAATGATTTTATAAAAATAATCACACTTTTCGATACATTTAATGTGAATAAGATGAAAAACACAACATAAATAAAAAGTAATTGTCCCTAATGTTTTAATTATCTAAAGAATCGACATTTTTATTGCTAGAGTATTGCAACTTAATACTTTAAGTTTGAGGTAAGTTTTATAATGTTATCCTAAAAATATGGCTGCACGAAAATTATGTGACAAAATGATTTTAAGCCTTTCGAAAATGAAACAAGCACGTTACACTCAGGGTGGGTGGGTCGATGCTTAAAACAACATTACTCTTGCATTTTTTAAATAAAAAATATATTCTGTATTACTTGATAATTTCATTCTAAAAAAACACACAAAACCACAATTATTATTTGAAACAAAAACTAAATATACTAAAGAGATAGTTTAGAGTTTGCGTTTAGTTATACATTTGGATTGATATTTCAACAGTGGTTAGATACTTCTATCTCTATGTTAAATTCATGGTTTGACACCTTTTTTTTTATTTTTAGGGGCATTATTGGAGTTTAAATATTTTTTCTTAATTCTGGGTATGCCCAATTAGTTAAGAAATAAATTTGAAAAAAAAGCCATTGTAATTTCTAAAATTAAAATAGGAAAATTGTAATAAATTTATGAAACTAAATTAAATAAATAACAAATTTTAAAATTATTTAAAATAAATAATAGTTTACCGTGTAAATATTTTTTTTACGACTGGTAAAAACTAATTTACATCATAAAAGATCTTTATTTACGTAGAAAAGAATATTTTACTAATCGTAAAAAAGAAAATTTACATGAAAAAATCTTTTTATTAATCGTAAATAAAACATTTACACGGTAAATTGTTATTTATTTCAAATACTTTCGGTAAAAACTAATTTACATCATAAAAGATCTTTATTTACGTAGAAAAGAAAATTTACATGAAAAAAATCTTTTTATTAATCGTAAATGAAACATTTACACGATAAATTATTATTTATTTCAAATACTTTTAAAATGTGTTATTTACTTTATTTATAAATATGCTATTTACTATATTCTCCTACTGAAATATTGATTTTTAAATAATAAAAAAAAACACAAGTATTATTGTAATACCCCCACAGACTTAATAGATTTAACATTAAACTGATAATCCACATAAATTAACGGAATCCAGCACAATTAAAAGAGTCTATGCGAGTCCAACACAATTTGTTACTTCACCAACTTTTTACATGCTTTTCTAATCTCATAACATCATTGTCTCATTTCTTTTTGTGACTGATTAATTCGAACACGACATGATTTTGCAGTACCTTACACGCGCACTCCTAATCGCGTAAGAACGTCCTCCTCCCATCGGTGATTCACCGAATCAATCGATATTTATCTCGTCTCTTTTCAAGTCTTTTGATCCTCTTTTTCTCTCCATCACCGTCTCAAAATTTAAATAAATCCCCGGAAGAGAAGACCAAAACCCCCCAAACCAAACAACAATGTCTTCTTCATCTCCAATCCCACCTCTCTTCCCCTGCACCTGAACGCACTCGATTCCTCCTGCTCCGCCGCCGCCTCAGGCCACCAATCCAAACCGATCAATCATGGAAGACCGCCGGAACCTGACTAAACGCGCCGCTGCCGCCGCCGGATTAGAAAACGGAGGAGAGGAAGGCGATACGGAGCTGTGGAAAGGGTTCGACCAGAGCTTCCGGCAGGTGCAGACGGTGCTGGATCGGAACCGGTCGCTGATACAGCAGGTGAACGAGAACCACCAGTCTCGGATCCCGGACAACATGGCGAAGAACGTGGCCCTGATCCAGGAGCTCAACGGCAACATTTCCAAGGTCGTCTCGCTCTACTCCGACCTCAACTCCAACTTCTCCACCCTCTTCAACAACCACCGCTCCCCCTCCACTAACGGCAAGCCCGACACGCCTTCGCAGCGTTGATCTTATCTATCTTTATTATCTATTGATTTAATTAATTATGCTCCATTTGAGTCATTCTTAATTATGGTTTATTGTTATCTTAGTCATAATTAAGATTTGTGTTTGGATAATAATCGGGGTTGACTTTAAATAAATAAAAGGGTTAGTCGTTTGTCTCTGTCTCGGTGTTGTTTTGTGTCGTTGAGTACTGATACTGGTGTACGTTTTGTTGTGTTTTATAAGGAGGATGAACTAAAAGACTTGCTTGGATTTCCTCCTAACTCCGTAGACCGTAATAAGGTATTTGAACTATTTTATGTGTCGTGTTTGTTTTATGGATTTTCCTTCGTTATGATTTAGCTTGCTTATATGAGGAAATGAGTGAAGGCGGGCCTTGGCACCGTGGTGGGAGCATTTGCGTTTGCATCCGGGGTCCAAGGTTTAAATTCCGGAAACGGCCTCTTTTCGGGAGTAAGACCGCGTAAATATGGGATTGAGCTTTCTCCCGAGTCTGTCGTAGTACGGGAGTCTCTTTGGTAGTACGAGAGTCTCTTTGGCACTGGGGTCTGTCTTATACGATGGAAATGAGTGTTTCCGTTTTGTCGTTCAATAAAATATTTCTTTGGTGTCATTCCGTCTCCCGTCTTCTTGTCTTTAAAGGAAATCTTGGGACCCGCCAATAAAACGAAAAAGATACAACTCAGTTTTACTCGAGTTCAGTTTCACTCGTAAGCCCAATATGGTACAGTCTATTGATCGGACAGACACCTCAAAATTTGAAGCTCAAAGTAGGATTTGAAGTATTGCACCTTGAAATTACTCTAAGAGAAGAAGGAGCGAGTGTTTAGTTTAATAGATGCGTACTTTACTTATATTTCTAAGTAGTTTTTGTGCTAGAAGTTGACTTTTTGAGGGATGGAGTTTAAGAATGCAATGGATTCTGTTTCTTCTGATGCTGGGAACAGAATTTTTGTCAGGAGCTTTTTTGATTTTTGGTAGCAAGAGGACTTGTTTTAGGGGTGGTTGTTGATGTACTGGGTGATCAAGTATGCTAGTATTGTTCTTTTCCGACGCAGAATCTATTCTTGTACTTTGCTAAGATAATTATTTTCCTAAATCTTATGTGGATAAAGTGAGCCTTAGGATTGCAATTGGAAGAAAAAACACTTTCTTGAAGAAAGTTGGAAAGGTTGGAGCTTTGTATTAACTCTTGCGGTTGATGCTTACAATGCTTTTATAATTGTTACCGACAGATACGCTCATGATAGTTTTTTCAATTTTCTTGTGTTGTCAATATAGGACAAGTTTGATGAAACATTTGGATTCAAATGCTTGCTTGAATTGTTCTTTACTAAAATTGAATGTCAGACAACTTTTTGTTTTAACAAATAGTTGCGTTGTGTCTATATGATAGTAAGTACTGGGACCCAAAGTAAGGGTAGTTGATGCCATATTGCCACTTAAATGCCCAGAATTTCCAAAATTTGCATATTTATTCCAACACGTTCTTTTTTGGTCTAAGCAAAGACCCAATGATCCTTATGTTCTGTTCTGTTTGTTTTTACAAGGAATTACTATGGGGACTGCTTACTTTTCTGTTCAACCCGGTAAATGAGGTACTTATGCTTAGTCTGTTGATATTCCTTGCTAATGTTCTGTTTCTGTATGATGACCAATTAATTAGGTATGAAGAAGGTGGGCACATCGTTTTGGAACTTGATGCTGGGAAATTATGTGCTCAGAGGAGAGAGTACTCAAGTTTTAAGTAGTTTAGTGATTAGCATTAGTGAAGTGTCTCACCTATATTTGCCTGTTCTTCTAAGAGGAACAAGATGGGGAGGAGATTCAAAGTTGTTCTTCGGCAATGAAACATGATAAACTTGTGTAAATGTTACCAGAATGTCTGTCGTTAACTTAATAAAATGCTCCCTTTTTTTTTTCAAAAATAGAGGATGCTAAAACAAATCAAGGGTGATTGTCGGGAAAACAATAAAGGGCACCAGTGATGTCCGGCACTACAAATCGCCAGTGGGATTCCTGTAACTCATCTCACACGAGTTGTGCTTAGAACACTTACCATTGTTGCCCAATTACACTATCCCTTGTGAAAATTTTCGTTAACATTTGTGAGAATCAGGCCACCATTATAATTGTGAACATGGTGGAAATTCAATGGGCTTGGGTGAGGCAGGCACCCACGTAAGAAGTAATTTACAAAATCTCGTAGTCTCAGAACCATACTTTGGAATAACAAATTTAATAAAGCGGCAAGTAAAGAATTCAATGGATTGTAAGAATCTTTTTCCCCCCTTCTAGAATTGACAGAAATATAGTATGTTGCAGTCTCTCAAGCGGGCTTCCCACAATATCTGACAAATGACAAGGTTAAGAAAACCTATGAGGAGGGAGATAAGAACCGCCTCTAAACCGTTAACCAATAAATTATTTGCCCTCACCTAAGAAATGTAACACGATATGATTCAAAACTCATTGAATGTTCAAATATACAAGGTCGCATAAGTTATTGCTATTATTCTTCCATGTCCATGGGTAATGGAGAGAAATAGGCTACCATTTGAGGCAATGACTATTTGCATGTGCGGTAGGACAAAGCGGCAACTCATAAAGGAAGTTCACCACTGCCTGAAATGACGACTTTGCTCTGTGGCACACCATCCCCGGTTCCTTCGGCTTCAATCCTGTAGACAATGTCCATACCAGAAATCACCTTCCCGAATACAACATGGCGCCCGTCCAACCTTCAACGAGAGACATACCAGATTCAGGCATTTGAGTTGAACAAAATATCCAATATATATATAAACACAGGCTAAAAGGCCTATAGCTAATGCAAGTTTGCTCAGTCCTTGCAGCAAAATCAAATGCCTCGATAGTCAAGGAGCACAGAACCGTAAATCAAAGTCCAGTTCATCAAGCATGTGATGACTGTGCGTGATAACTAAGGTTGGGACTAAAAATTCTTTTAGATCGACAAGAGTAAAGAAACACTGTTTTTTCCTACCCCAACTTCTCTGAGAAACAAAAAATTTAAAGCTCCTAAAGAGCTATATTGTTAAAGCAGATATGATCCAACAATTAGCAGGAGATGATCACCAGCTAGTCTTGACAGTTGTAATGAAGAACTGTGATCCATTGGAGTCTGGCCCAGAATTTGCCATTGATAAAATTCCTGTTAGGACCAAAAGGGAAAATCCTCATAAGTCAAAAA